AACTCGAAATAGAAGTAAGCTCAACAATCATGAAACAAGAGATTCCTCGAAACCCAACTTTACTTCCCATAGATTTAAATTATCCATCAACCTTGGCAAAAAAACTCTTGGGATAGGGAGGAAAGCAAATTTGATTAGAACTTCAGAACTTTTTTTTTACTTACATAGACCGTAGAAGTGAAATGGGACAGCAATATTCCCCAAAATGGAAATCACTCCAACTTAAGTGAAAAAGATTATTGGAATTTACAACCATTTGCGAAATCTGCTCCAGTAACCAGGCCTTCCAAGCCATCCTCAAGCAAGATTCAGTATCAAAAGTGGCATCAAAATCAAACCCGAATGGAGCTACGTGCTCACAAGCACAACCAAATTAGTGTGTGCTTAGGCCAAGAACCAATTATGACGTTTAAGTTGCCTAGATGGCTCCTATTCTAGCATGCAGCACTGGGTAAAAAGTTATGTTAGTTTTTATTTATAAAAATTAATGAATATTTTAGTTGGTGCTCATGGTAGATTTAAATGCATAAGACTTATTCAATAAATCACATTGATCCCTTTCTCAGGCTGGTTTGCTACTAAAGATTTTATTGATGCATCCGTTTCCGTAGCGTTTACCTTTTGTTTAACACCTCAGAGTGGAGGGATACGTTAAACTTTCTGCATTGGCTTCTGTCTTGAGACAGTTGACTCAGCCAAGCATATGATCGATAAAAGGAACGACAGTGAAAAACTCCAAAGACTGGTACTGTGTATCAACAGACCCACCTAAATTGCCAATCTAAACGATCCAAATAGATCAAACTAATGTGGATAGTTAAATATGAAATTTGAGTTACCAATACTAAGATTCACTCAGCCTTTAAATAAGAGTAACCGAATGCGGGTATGCAGATCGAAATTTTGTTGCTTTTAGTTTGGTTGCATTATCCTTTTGGATCATAGGGCTCATATGGTCCCAATTCTGTTGTCATGACGACTTTGAAGAGCGAACCCCGAATTTCGTCCTTTGCCATATTCGTCACATCGTATTCCACCATCCAGCCATTGATGGGGCAAAATCCGGACTTATCACCAGTCTCTAATTCGGCATCATCGTTGAGCACCGCAATCGCTAGTGCTGAGTCAAGACTCGTAAGAGTGACGCGTAACCCAAAAAATAACTTTTTCATAAGGCTGCATCCTTATCTTCATACCTAAAATCAGTTACTTTGAGTTACCAGAATTAAGAGTTGAACGACGCTCTGGCCGGAAAGTTAAAAGGTCAAATTTTACAAAACTCACATGATAATTGCTTCTTCGTGGTGTCCAAGCAGAGCTAGCATCCTAGCGGTGTTATCAAGTGCACGGATTTTCGACATCTTTATATCACTACTCTTGGAGAAAGGGGGTAAAGTGAATGGAAAAATAAAACTAAGAGAACTGATTAGGAAATAATTTTTGTTGGCCCCATGAATTATGGGGTAGGGATGAATTTTCAAATCGTTAAAATGCATAGGGGAGAAAGCGATCTTTTTAACGTCTCGAAAATCGCATTTTTGCCGAGAACTATCCACATCCTGCATAGTTGGGTCATTGGACCTAGTTGTTAATAATACCTCTTTAGTGAGGAATGAATTATCATATTGAGACTATTTAGTCAAATATAGATGGGCGGAGACCCTTTCTCATGTTCTATTTTTGCCGTCATTCCTTCTTTCTAGAAGGATAGGCGAATTAGTGAAGAAGTGAGGAATAAAAACAGTGTTTCAAGAAACCCTCAAACTGTCTTCTCTTGTGCCATCTTTTATAGAAAACTGTGACCCATTCTCGATATCCGACTGCTGCAAGCTTGTTTGCTCCTGTGGCCGATGTTATGTTGGTGATACATGCCGACCTATTCGACAAAGATTGGAAGATCATAAAAATTCTTGCAAAGGAAGCTGCATCCAACGGTCAGAAGTGTCCTAAGACATGGTAGAAACTTGACATGAAATAAAATGGTCTCAAACTAGTAGGTTTGCTGATTATGGTACGTCTGTGGTTAAAATAAAGATAAGAGAGGTTATTGAAATTAATAGCTTAGGAAATACATTGAATGTGAGAAACGGTGGTAGAAAGTTGAGTAGGAATTACTTATGCTTGATTAATAGATTGAATGAGAGAGAGCTTGTTGAGCCGCCATCCAATAGAAGGTGACTCAATTTGTCTGCTCAGTGATGTTTCTAACTTCACTTACACTCGTCCAACATGTTATGTTAAGCTCATCAACCAAACTAGACTTGCCAAATTACGCATGCCTTTCCTTGGGTGGTTAATCGTTAATGTCCCTGGACAGAGAAGTTATGACAGGCGGTTTCGTAACTCGTCTTACACGCTTACAAGCTTACATCTCATTATCTCAACAATACTTGCTTACGAACTTACGCAGTCTCGGTCAGGGCTTTCTCTTTGGCCACTAAGCCTTGGTGACCAGAGCCTGACATTAATCTTTTTTGATCACTCTGATTTAGGGCCGGTATTGTGTATAGACGTTAACACATACACACACATGCACATACACACCCGAGCAAAAGTAGCCGAACTAATAGGAAAGGCAATTGGCCAAACTATTCTATATCTATGTGTGCTTTTTTATTTTTTTCTGTTTAATTGAGTCTACATAAGAGCGTTATAATCTTCTTGGCCCAGTATTTAACTAAAACTTTTACAGGAAGGAATTCCAGCTCATATTATGGACGAAAGCTCAGCCCGTTTTCACCTTAAACGAGGGATGATGTCTCGTGGACTGCGTCAACCTGAACCAACTAAACAACTGCATTACAACAGTAATCAGCCGTCCTCTTCTGGCGAGATCGACCTTCGAATCTCTTCTTCATGTACTTTTGTAAGAAACAAAAGTCTCTCCAACAGTATTATCTCAGAAAATTTATCGAAACCAAGTTAATCTTTTTATCTTAAATGTTATTGCCTTATGTCTTATTTTAAGCTATACTTCATTTCCGGCCTCACCCCGGTCGAGTTGGCAACTCCAGTGAGGTCTGAACCGTGGATCTTTTGATATGAAGGTAAATATGCTACCCTTTAGGCCATACATAGTGTCAAACACATGTACTCTTCAAAGTGTGCGACCATTATCACATAGTTTTTATGCATATTCCTGGATCGAGTTGATTTTGGAATTATTATTGTATCTCTAATACGAACCACAACAAGCTTTGATCTTTAAAAGTTAGGCATTCTGATAGTTAGATTTCCCACGATGAAATGAGGGTAGGCTTTTTCCTCCAGACAGATTGTTCCAAACCTCACTTAGTTGGAGTATAGTAGGGACTGAAATGTGTTCATCCTATTTCGTTTAAGTTGATAAGGGAAATGGTAGTAAAATTTTCCCACAATTATATGAGAGGACCGTACGATTCCATTTAATTTCACATAGCCTTGCTTTCTCAAAAGTTATCCTCGTCCAGGTTGGACTGCTGCTTTGACCTTTCCAAGGTCTCATCAGCACCCTCAGCCGGACTCGTAGCGTATAATCCCAACACGCTAATCACTACGTCACAGTGACACGAGTGCCCTTGAGTCACAGGGCAAATGTCAATTTCAAGGAATACCAGGCATTTTTTTATATCAATTTCTGTGGTGGGATTGTCGATGAAGAAAAGATATATTTGCCATAACAATAACTATAAGGCTCATTGAAGTGGCTTGACCTCGCTGTCGCAACTTAGTCTTGTTGTCAGGAGGACTATGTAGAACGCACCTAGTCCTAGATACTTGAGAATGTATCAAGTCCACTGTCAGATGCTAGGAATCATGACAAATACTATGGCAGACGACTTCGGACTAGGTGCGTTCTACATAGTCGCCCTGACAACAAGACTAAGTTGCGACAGCGAGGTCAAACCACTTCCATAAATCGAAAGGAGACTGCGACCACACCAGAGGCCACAACATCTTGGTCTACATATCTTTAATTATAATGTTTATTTTTTGTTAGTAAGTAGAACTTCGAGACTACTAATAAGTCAGCTAAATACTTTATCTATAATTCTATCACACATTGTGATATGGGAAAATTTCTGGCCTTCCTTAAAAATGCCATCTCCTCTGTGACACAAAGACACCCGTGGAAATGTTGCATAGAGGTTAACTTATCGAGCTTCAATGGTCTACTCATATCATTGTGGAAAACCTTAACCACCAGTCCCCTTATCATCTAAAACAAAAGAGAGTTGACACATCTAATAGATCTGCTCTACAGTTAGTTTGAAATCCTACTTTTAAACGAAAATTATACTAATTTACTTGAGACAATTTGCGAATGCAGGTTGACACGATTTTAAGTGGAGCCGAAAGTCTCATTTGACCTCTGACACTCGGGCACCTGGGACGTCTGGTGGAGTGGTCAATTTACGGTTTGAAGTGCGCCAGTTGGTTTAAAATTTTGTTGAAGGAGCAGGTAAGGCTCATTTGTGGTCGAACCTATGGTACAGCTCGGATTAGAAAGTCCTTTTGGAGACAAAATTAACTCAAATATAATGGCATCGGGAAGTCTAATCGTTCAAAGAAGTAGAATTCCCCTTCCTTCCTCCCCTCGTTTCAGGCCTCTTCGTTTTGTCCCCTAAGGGAACAAAATGCTACATCAGAAAAGGCAGCCAAATTTGCTATCTGGTGCCAGAACCCACTTACGCGTAGTGACCAATCTTTGCATCCATTTCAAAGAAGCTGAGAGCCTCGCTGTAGCGCCCCATTTCGGATAAGCAGAGGCCAATTACAAAACAAATGTCCGCTTGCAGCCTCCATTTTAGCGCAGACGGACTGGAGGCTCGCCAAGACTGCACGGCATCCAGAAGACATTGGCCTTGGTTAGAACCGCGTCGATATTGGCCCTGAACATAGACTGTATAAAAAAGTTGATACTGTGACAAAACTAGAAGTCAGACTATATTGATCTTCAAATTTACTTTTTACACTGCAAGTTTATTGTCTCCCGATAAATGAATCTATTACTTGCGAATTTCTAACACAGTAGATTCACGAAACCATATTGAATCACTCTGACTAATTAAGTCAGAGTTGCCTTCCAAATTTCACACACAATTCATAATTTAACCACTTTATCTGCAGGCAGTGTAGAGAAAACCTTTGTGCAGTTAAGAGTCATCATGAAGGAGTGGATCGAGTCCCAACTGGGCAAAATTTTGGAGAAAAGTGGATAGATCTCGTTTTCGTAATTTTCGCGCTGTCAAGGCTACCCCAAAGGATACATTTTGCCCGAAGTTCGATGCCTTAAAAGTCATGATAATTAATAGCGTCAGGTCATTGGCATTCCTGAACGCTTCACCAGCATCATTAGTGTACCCAGCCTGTCTAAGGCTCAAGCCAGATCGCGCTGAATAGACAAGTTAAATCCATTATCAGACGAATTTTGCGCTAAGCGATTGTACTATTATTGTAGTATCTCTCCTCATAGATCCTAGCTTCTCTTCTATCAACATTGCATTATCAACATTTCCTATTTTTGTGAGTTTTGTAAGAAGTAATTATAGATTATTATGTAAAGTTCCGTTTCGTAATAAAGTGCATGATGAAGAGATACATTGGTTGATTTCACGGAAAGACAAAAGCAGATACCCGTTGTTCCGCAGCCGTTTGGCTTTTTACGACCTTCAGATTGACGCAGTCCACGCGACATAAGACCTCGTTTTGAGTGAGGCCTGGAGGTTGCCTCGTGGACTAAGCCAACCTGAAAGTCGTATTAAACCGGAATCGGTGTTTATCTTCTGGTAAGATAAACAGTATGCACTTTTATACGAAATGAAATTCTCTACAACAATGTTATCTTAAGAGATTTATCCAAATCCACTTAATGTACGAATCTACAATCATAGATTGAAAAGATCGAGTTGTCTTAACACTTCCGGTACAAATTGAAAGTTGCGTTAGAGGGGATGAGTTACAAGGACATAGAATAGTTGAATATACCAGAACAGGGGAATGCAACCATTTAGTAGGTTTATCAAGGGAGGAAGAATTCCTTATTGATTTATTGTGACATGACTTTT